CGATGAAGCGCTTGAGGTCGGACTTGTCGATGGACCCGATGGGGTTGATGTCGGCGCCTGTAAGGGTGTGTGTCAGTGTGTGTCCTTGTCAGGGGCGGGACCCGCGTATTCAGCAATTTGCGCGGGTTAGTGCCCAAAGCCTCCTTGAGAGGCTCAATGATGGGCGTTCTTACTGGAGCAATCATATCTATGCTAATGTCAGTACATCAACGTCAGTGCTTACGTTGTCCGAGTCGCTTACTTGGTGAAGTATCCTCTCAAAGACTCGCCGACGTTGGCACTGCCCAAAACGAGCAAGCCACCACCACCAGGGCGGCCTCTGGCTGTGGGAAGAATCTGTCCGTACTCGTACGCCGTCACCATACGAATTCTCGCCTGAAGACACTGCAGCATCAGGTTCTCCTGGACTGTGCCGCCCTCGACCTTGAACTTGGGCTCAAAGTTGTTTGTGGCCTTGAGGAGGTTCTTCTGCGCCTGGTAGATCTCGTCGATGTCGAGGTTGATGTGGTAGCTGCCAATGGCCTCGGCGAGGTCCTTTGCACGTCCGCGGGTCTCGGCAGAGCTCTGTTCCCTCATGCCCATGTAGATGGTTGAAAAGACCTGGTTGCAGAGGGCCTGTGGCGTCTTGGGGAGAACACCGTCGCCTTCGTACTTGGCGATGCGCTTTACGTCTTTGATTACCTGGGCGTTGCCCTCTTCGACAGCCTTCATCACGATGCGGCACATGGAAAATACGATTGCTACGATGGGTTAGTTGGTGTTGGAATAAGGGGCGAAGGAGACGTACTTGCGGTTGCGCAGGAGTCGATGCCACCACTGAGTGGAACGAGATATCCTGCTGTTCCAGACCGACGGAGATACTGGGAGCTGTCAGCTTCGCACAGGCAAGAGATGCTGGTGACCTTACATCCCAAAGATAGCATCCAGCACACTGCGCAATCTCCTCCTCGACAGAGTAGAACTTGGGCTTGATAGGAGGCGAAGGGCGCTTTTCGACGTCCGCATCGTCGTCCTCAGAGCTGAGCTCGAAAGAAGTCTGGATCCTCTCGTACTTGGCATCAGACCGCGCAGCCTGCAGACCGCGAGAGATCGCAGAGCGGTAGGCCCGCACCTCCTCCAAGTCCACCGTCGCAGTGATGACCTCGACATCGTTCAAGCTGAACTGCGACCCCTGCGCCACAACATCGCCGTTGACTAGAATCATGGCGGAGCCGTCGTAGTACAGCCTGTCGCCGTCGCAGCCCTGCTGGTTGGCGTACAGGTAGATGCCGCCGTTCTTGCGCGTGGCCTCCATGATGAGCTGCAGGCGGGTGTCGAGCTTCTGCAGGGTGAAGTGGGAGCCGCTGGAGTTGGTGATGATCTCGACGCCGTCGAGGGACATGGCGATGTGCGGGGCGTTGGGGGTGAAGAGCTCCTCGCAGGTCTCGGCGCCGAAGCAGGTGTCCGGGGTCGAGACGACGGCGTCGCCGAAGACGACGTGCGTGGCGCCCTGGATGTCCTGCAGGATGCGCGGCAGGTGGTACTGCTCGGTGGTGCGCGGGTGCATCCACGGGGTGAAGTGGCGCATCTCGCGGTAGTTGCCGTCGTTGGCGAGCCACATCTTGGGGCGGATCATGAGGATCTTGCCGTTGAGGCAGAGGACGCGGCAGTTGAAGCGCTGGTTGCGGTGCTGGACGGGCATGCCGATGTCGAGGAGGATGTCGTGGCAGGACTCGTCGAGCAGGATGCGGCGGAGCATCTCGAAGCAGTGCAGGTAGAGGTCCTGCTCGAGGAGGTGGTCGAGGCAGCCATAGCCGCAAATTTCGAGTTCCTGGGTTGGAATTAGTTGACTGAAAACTTCCTTCGCAAATAATTTCCGAAGACTGAAGGAGCCGGTTGGGTAAGCTGAGAGATATGAGTGACTCACAGGACCGACACGAAGTCGGGCTCCGGCGGCCTTGGCCTTTTGGATACTCTCAATAATGCGAGCAGTGTTGCCTTCCCACTAGAGTTGCAGAGTTAGCATCGTCGACAACTCGTGATGAGGGGTAGAGACTCACGTCCAGAGCCCACTGGTTGAGCGAACATGTCGCTACCGTGACGAGGTGGCCCATGTTGATGATTGTTCAAGTCTATGTTTCAATTAGTTGTCTGATATTCGAAAGTGTCTGTGGAATGACTTGCCTCAAGAGTTGCAGTCTCGTCCCGGATGCTCCTCAACATATGTTGAAGTGAGGAAGTTACGTACGCTGCCTTGAGAGCAGATGACTCATCCAAAACCAGAAAGTCGAGCGCTTCTGTGAGTTGAAGGAAAACTTGAGAGTCGGCTGCGCCGTTTAAACGGAGAGAGAAATCGGATTTGTTCTCTCAAGCTCAAACACAAAACGTTCTGAACCGGAGAGCTTGACGGAGCAGTTTCGGCATTACGGGTCAGTTGGCTTCAGAGACTCAGCGGCGCATCTTATCAAACCCCTCACCCCGGTATCGCATGTTAGTGCGTATGCGCGTTCCTCCGCCCAAACACTAACATCCTCACCCATCACCCGTATGAACTGCTGCCTCCGGCGAAGTCAGAAGGGCATGCGCGATTTTGGCAATTGCGAGCAGGAGTCATGAATCTAATTCTTCAATGACGCACATTGGACCGCGTGTTCATCCCACCGTCAAACAAACATTTCGGGTGACATTCCACGGCTTGTAAGTGGTAGTCCTGATCCCTGTCAGGATCAATCCCCGCCATCAAGGCTGCTCGGCGCCGGGCCATGCACCACACATGCTGACAATTGCCGGCCGAGCTCCAGCGAGCCCCGGCAGCTGTCGCAGCGCCTCGGCTCAATCTCCAACCACCAAAAACGGCGCTGCGCATCTCAACACCATCACGTCCACGATACTCCATCACGACCTTACTCTCAATACAATCTCCCGACGTCGCGCCATACCTCCCTACCATTTCAACTAGGTCATCGAGGACAAAAACACCACAACTTGACAAACAACAAACCCGCGCCCTGCCTCGCGCGCGCGCAATGCGCAATCACCATTCATAATGTCGTCCTCCCCCGAACAACCACAACACCCGACGCTCCCCTCCTCGCCATACCCCTACGCCTCCGCGCCCGACATCATCCGCGCCCACCAGAAAGACGCCTACTACAAAGGCCACCTCTCCAACACCCTCACCTCCCTCCACCGCCTGCTCCTCGGCGCCCGCTCCGCCCACTCCGCAACCTCCCTCCACCGCCTCCTCGCCGACACCCTCTACCTCGCCCTCACCACCCTGCCCGGCAACCGCACCCTCGGCGAAGAGTACTGCGACCTCGTCCAGCTCCACGTGCCCCCCAGCAACCCCTCCGCCGCCGAGCTGCCCGCCCTCCCCCGCCGCGCCTCCTACATCGCCACCTCCGTCCTCCTCCCCTACGCCCTCGGCCGCCTCCTCCCCTCCGTGCGCGCCCGCATCCGCACCGTCCTGCAATCCTCCCTCCCCAAGGGCCAGCACCAAACACCCGGCACGACCCGCCAAAAGCTCGCCGCCTACATCCTCGCCAACCTCCCCAGCCTCACCTCCGCCGCGCCCCTCCACGCCGCCACCCTCGCCGTCTTCTACTTCACCGGCACCTACTACGAGCTCGCCAAGCGCCTCCTCGGCTTCCGCTACGTCTTCACCCGCAAGGTCCCCGACTCCCCCGACCGCGCCGGCTACGAGGTCCTCGGCGTGCTGCTCGTCGCCCAGCTCGCCGTGCAGTCCTACCTGCACATCCGCGCCACGATCTCCGACTTCTCCACCTCCCGCGCCGCCCGCGAGCGCGCCCTGGCAGCAGGACACGTCGACGTGTCGCTCGATTCGAACGCGTACGCCGCGAACACGGCCGTGCTGCTCTCCGAGACTGGCACGCCCGGCGGGAACGGGGCCGGCGGGGCGAAGGTTGATATCGCCGCGGTGACGCACACGCCTGTGGTGGCAGCGGAAGAGGCGAGGTATGATTTGAGCGATGAGAAGGTGATGGGGTACATCGCGGGCGCGGCGCAGCGGAAGTGCACGCTGTGTCTGGAGGAGCTGAAGGACCCGTCTGCGACGCAGTGTGGGCATGTGTTTTGCTGGACGTGTATCGGGGACTGGGTGAGGGAGAAGCCTGAGTGTCCCCTCTGTAGGCGGGAGGCGATGGTGCAGCATATCCTGCCTCTGAGGCTTGCGTGATGGGAAAGGGGGTTTAATGTTTAGCTGCCCGGTGAGGCGATGCGGAGTTTACATTTGTACATTTACACTTTTATTGTTTATAAAGAGCGGAGAGCTAGGTGGGTAAGACCAGTGGTGGTATTTCATCCTGGGTGTATGCAGGACTGAAGTTTGCATGAACAATCAAAGGACATCCGAAGCCAAGAGTTTGTACGAAATGAATTATATACCACAGAATAGAGGTAAACTTATGAGATGATACAAAAGGTATTAGCACACTCCCTTCACAATTGTCAAAATCAACAAGATGCTCAGAGAAATGTAACGAGAGACAGAAAACGTGTTGGTCGACCTTCCTACTCAATACACAGAAGAGTTTGAAAAAGTGTGAAGAAACATCCCCCCTAGACACTGTGTCACTCCCGCGCTTCATATCAATGGGTCAGTTGGCTCGTCAGTTGTAAGCTTTGAAGACCAGCTTCCTGGGAGCGATGCCGACCATAGGATACAATGAACGGGGGACCAGTATCAAAAAAGAGGAGAGAGAAATAAAAGTGATACTGTTTGTCGACCAAGACAAGTGATCCGAACACCTTTCCCCCACCCCCACCCAACGGTCCGCCCTCTCTCCCCTTGAAGAGAGGGCCCGTTTGCCCATTCCAGGGCTCGATGGCTCTCTATTCCATCGTGTAGGTATCATGTGCCATTGTGCGTTCCAATAAAAACAGTGAAAAAAGACATCAAACGCTTAAACTCCGTATCCTTTATGAGTTCCCCAGCCCGGTTATCCGTTGGTTACAAAAAGGTGTTTGGGGGTTGGAGATTTAACTCAAGCAGCCAAGACTGCTCAGGCAGTGAAGAGTACAATCTCTCCACGCTCGTTGCGCCTCATGCGCAGAGAGCGCCACAGCTCCTTCTCCTCCATCAGCTTGCTGAGGCTGTCACCGGAGGAGGAGCGCTCGCGGTGGAAGCGCTTCAGGGCCTTGTTCATGCTGCAGCCGCGCTCGCTCTCGGGGCCCTTGTTGACGAGAGACAGGAAGACGTCGGCGCGGGGGCGGAAGACGACCATCTGGTTGTCGTCGCCGTCGCCATCCTTCTTGCTATCGCGGGAGCCGGGGCGGTACTCGATGAGCTTGGGGGCCTTCTCGCCGTCGCGGTGGCGGTGCGAGGAGTGCTTCTTGGAGGAGGACGAGACTTTGCGCTTCTTGGCCTTGGTCTTGCTGCTGGTGTTCATGTTGAGGAGGCCGAGGATGTTGTTGCCGATGCCTCCCTCGGAGGACTTCTTGTGCTTGGAGTGCTTCGTCTTCTTCAGCGGGCTGAGAGGGGACGGGTCGGCGTCGCCGCCGGAGAAGTCGGGCGACGGGGGGAAGACGGGACGCATCATGGTCTTGATGCCGCCGGTGAGGCCGGAGTGCTGGAGCTGGGGCGGGGCGTCGATCATCATCTGGTCAGTGTCGACGTGAAGACGCTTGCGCTTCTTGTCCTTTTTCTCGCTGCCGTCCTTCCTCCTCCTCTCGTGCTTGGGGGCGGGTGTCTCGTAAGGGTCGAGGGGAATGGAGCCGGCGCCGTATTGGACCATGGCCTGGGGGTCCTCGTCGACCATGGCGCCGTCCTCGTCCAGGAAGGTGCTCGCTTCATAGCGAACCAGTTGTGTCTCTTCGTTGACTTCCTTCTGGCCGAGCTGGAGCGTTGAGGCAGTGGGTGTTGCTGCTTCGAGGAAGTCAAAGACATTGGGGGCGGAGGGAGGTGTAGGTGCTTCGGGCAGGTTGGCCGGGGAGGCACCGTCGTCGCTGCCGCCGCCCTGGTATTCGTAGGTTTCGAAGACGTCCTCGGGGACGTCCTCAACGTATGCTACATGAGCCATGTTGTCGTCGGGAAGGGGTACGTTTTGCGGCTGGATGTTGTTTCTATTGTTCTGCTTCTTATTGTTGTTGTTGTTCTTCTCCTTGTAGAGGGCGCCTTGGTACTTTTGGGCTTCGCTCATGCAACTCTGGCGTTGGGTTAGCACATGACTACCTTAGCCTTGGAGACGGCGCCCGTTGGCGGCTCGAGGAGGAACTGGTGGGACTTACGGTATGAGAACGATATTCGGTGCCAGGGAAGTAGACCATGCAATCGATGCAAGTGTAAGTGGCGCCTCGACAACGGTTTCTGTGCGGGTCGAGCTTCTTCTTCGTCAAGACATCACCACAGTTCTGTGGTTGAGCAAAGCGACAGGTCAGTGATGTTGCGCAGGAGTTGCTAGAGCAAGATAATTGGATTCTTGGGGGATGAAGAGGGGGGTGTATGGTCGGGGAGGCGAAGGAGGGACGGGACGAGACAGTGACTATTAAAGAGCATCCAAGTGGAAGTGGAGGGGTGTTTGTTTCCGTTGCTGGAGGGGTGTGTGTCTGGTGTCTTGCTTGTGTGGAAGGTGTGTGGTGTGAGGATGTGATGTCAGGTCAAGAGGTTATAATAAGACGACATGGGGATCCTCGGGGGGGTTACCGACGGGGGTGTCGTACGGAGAAGTAAAGGGACCCTTGGGATTGAGGGGGAAGAGGACGAAGAGGAAGAAAAGAGGGCGACGGGCGGGCTTACCTCACAAGAGAAGGACACCATGATGAAGGGAGCGACGCTGTACGATGATGTGTTGTCCTTACAATGGGCTTCTATTGGGCGCGGGACGTTGGGCTGAGAACGGTTTTGACTGGGTCGCGGTATTTAACGGAAGAGAATGAAAGGCGGTTTGGGGAGGCGACGGAATGGCCGTGGTGTATCTGTCGGCAGGCGGATTTGCAGAGTGCAGATTCAGGGCGGCGCCTGACTGGCCGGGCTGGCGGGCTTGGGGGATCGTCAAGAAGTGGACTGCAATGCAAGCCGGGACGTGCCTTGTACGAGACGAACAAGGGCAGACTTGGGGACGACACTGAGTGTTTTGGAGCTTTGGGAAGCGTAGCTGAGACTTTGGCAGTCGGTAGCGGGTGTGTGTGTGTGTGTGTGTGAACTAGCGGGATGGATGTTGGAGACAGGCCCGGGCGTGGAGCGAGGGGAATGTTGTTGCTGTTGGATGTTGATTGTGTGTTATGAGAGTAAGTGTGTGTTTGTCGGCGGCAGCGGACAGAAGGATGGCGAGAGGATGAGAGAAATGGCGAGACGGCGGGTGGCTCGGGGGAAGCAGGCGCAAAGGAACTCAGAGTTCAATCCAACTCGAGATGTCAGGGGCTTCCTCCGTGTTGGTTTCGCGTCTCAAAGACGTAGCTGTGCCGGCGATCTCCAAAGTTGGAATCCCTTATTTGGAGGGGTCCAAGGGGGCGACGTCCGCAGGGGGGGGAGGGGAATGGAGGGGTGAGAATTTGTTTCGCGCTTCAGGTGTGTTGGATGTGGTAGAGAGAGAGACGCAGCTGAGGAACGCGCGCAATCTCTGCCCCCAGAAAAAAGGTGACCAGCTGCAGGTGACGACGGGTAAAAGACTGGAGACTGAGATTCCTGGACTGCAGAGCGGGAATCCAAGCTGGGCGATGTTGTATTTTGAGCGAGGTGAGCTCAGCACTGAAAGTTTGCGGTTGCGACGAGTGAGCGAGAGTACGAACAGCTGGAGGAGCTGGTGGCGTGGTGAATCGAGGGGCAATGGCGTCAAAACCGGCCTAAAGCTGTCCAAGATTGGCCGTGCTGATGATGTTTGGACTGGGCGGATGAGATTGCGCTCGTCTGGAGAATGCGCGACGAATTATCGGTTGCCAAAGACACGCCTAGCGACGAGGTTGAGTTGCGAAAAGTCGTGAAGCTGCGCGGGCTGCACTGCAAAAAAGTCTATGCAAACAAAGTGGGAATCGAACGAAACTTTTCGCAGTGGGATTTTTTTTTTTCTCTGGTCCGTCTCTGTCGTGGAGACGTTGGAGTGCATCGCAGTTGGGCAGCTCGACATGTTGTTGCTAGGCGCACCCCGGCTCCTTCCCAGTGACAGGCGGTATCCCAGGGGAACGACGGTCATTCAGCAGCAATCGGTGGTGTCGAGTGGCCCAATGAATCCAAAACCCAGACGAACGACGCGTCTGATTGGCTGTACTTCGGATGATAGCCAATTCGCGGCCGGCCAATCGTTGGAGACAGGGCGACAACGGTGGGGGTGGTTGCATCTTGTCCGCCTCACTCGGGCGGGAACACTGAAGACGGTGGACGATATGGAGACTCTGCGCAGCACCGTCCTTGCGTCCGTCCAGCCTCCAGCGGGCGACCATTGAGCATCTTCTCCCACTTACTCGCAGCACGAGATCCCACCTCGAGCTGCAACGGAATGCATCCGTGGTGGGCTTCTGGCCTCCTGGCACCGCAGACCGCCCCCGCGCTTCGCCCGTTTCTTCACAGGGCGAGCTGTTGTGGAAATGCGAAATGCAGGCCAGTGGATTCTGTACCTTATGCCCTTACCTTGGGGGTCTCCGCTAGTGATCGATGTCTAAAGAAAGGTGGTAGCTGTAGCTGCCATGAGTCCCTGACCTAGCTAGACATGCCGTTCGACATCGATCCACAATCAAGCACATCACGACGACGCCGTCTTTTGCATAGACAAGCTCGGGGCGTTGCCAGCATGAGAAGCGCAATTGCACCCGGTGGGGCAACATTCCGGACGGACCGTTGACTGGAATGCAGTGTCTTGTCGTCGTCCCCGTCCCGTTTGCCGCGGTTTCACGGAAGGAGACGAGAAACCCATGTTCGAGTGACGAGAGAGAACGGAACTCAGGGGTAAACCGAATAGCAGCAGAAGCTTCCGCTCTGCTTCTATTCTGGGGACGACTCGGCTTCCACGACAAGGGCAGGGCCAGGCCACGCACTCTGATCTTCTGAGTAAGGTATCCGCATCCGAATCCGTAGTAGCTGAGTTCAGGTCAGATTATGCTATGCCTTGCCAGTAGTATCCGTAGACCACCGACTGCCAAAAGAGACCGGACAAGGAGCGGCCACATGAGACGGACCAAGCGAGGGCCCTGTCCCTATCCGCCGGCTGGCGCTGCGAATCAAAGGGATGACGACGACGTCCCAGAGGGATGGAACGGCTGCTGCCGCCGCGTTGGGCGTCCAGGTCGACGTCTCGGGGGGCCGTCACATCGCTTTCTGGCACGCTGATTAGCGGGCTGCATGAGATGGCCCAGCTGGCGGGCAGCCCCCATTTGCAGTGCATCGCCGCCCTTCAGTGTTGGCCTGTTGGGGCATGTCTTCAGCGCCGCCCCCATAGCGCGCGTCTAAAATCGACGGACGGCCGAACGAACGACTTGTCGTTGGGGGCTTGCAAGTGGAAAGACATATAAATTTGGTTGTTGGTTGCCGGCTGCAGGGACGCAATTAGAACGGACGAAAGTCGTTCCTTTTCCTGTTCCTGGCTTTGCCCTGGACTCCTTCCTTGCGTTAGGTCGGTGGCTTTGCCCGCGTGCCGTGCCTGGGATTGCTTAAGAGGATGCAGCTGTTGGAAATCCTCCCATGTCCACTTTCCTTTCGGCCTTGCGTTTGGGCTGCTGCACACGCCCTCCCTACCTTGCCTCAGGGCGCGGCCCACGTCGTTTCCATCGAGCAAACGGAAGCATAGAATCTGGAGTCGGATCGACGATGGCAGCTTAGCTGTATCCGTAGGAGAGCCCATCGCGTGGATTTCCCATGACTTGCAGGCCACGTTGGCAGTGGATGCGAGATCATCTCACCTGGACCGAGGAGCTTCAATGATTGACGGCGCCGTTGTAACTTGCAATTCGTTAGTACTGAGCCACATTGTTCACGCAAGCCAGCCCGCAAGCGCAAGGATGAAGTATCAAGCCCCAAGCTCGGCGCCAGTCGCACCTCGTTCCAGCCAAGACAGCGCCATTGATCTCCGCGGTTGAGATTGAGATGGTTCAGGTGTCTTGCCCTGGATAGCTAGATCCGGACGGTGGAAGTGCGCGGCAGCGAGCAGCGAAAGGAGAGCTTCGGGGACCATTCGAATGAGCTCCCCGCCATGGTGGATGGATGGCGCGCCGCGGTTGTGCTAAGGTGACCTTAAAGTCAGCCCGGCGCAGAACCAGCTTAGGTAATGTGGAAGCTCCCGACAATCCGTCCGATGCGCTTCCGCGTCTCCCGTCATTCAGAGCTCCAGCTTCAGCGTCCAAATCGCCCGAGCTGCCCCCTATTGTCGGCCTCTGCCAATCACCGCAACCCGCTATGTCAGCCCACGGCGCACTTGGGGGCCCGAGATTGCATTTTGAGAGGCAAGAATCCCCCACCAGGTCACGCCTTGCCCTTTCCTTCCCTGTCAGACGCCGTCTTCCACCTCTAGTTTCAGTGGGAGATCCTCCTATTGAAGCAACGAGACGGCGGACACAAGTTGATCGATGTTGCGGCTTTGGATGCGTTCCCCTGAATTCGAGGGAGCTGGCTACCCATTCCGGCGATTATGATCCGTCCCTCCATCAAGCAGACTTCTGTCACTGTCTCGTGTGGCATTTGGTGTGTATGCTGACTTGCCGCGGCCACCAAAGCTTACATGCGATGAATCGTCGACGTGCTCGAATAGGAACAGTGAATATATCCACGGAATTGCCGCAAGATATAAATGATTCATGTCAAGTTGCTTCCTCGCGATAGAGTCTCTATCTCGTTGAAGGACTGCAAAAAAGCTCACATCTTGAACATGGCAAAGCGGTCATCCCGTGCTCGTTTAGTACACAAGGTAAGCTCAGCAAGCATTCCATCTCCAATATCAAGGACGGACCGCCGGCAATGCGATGGCTGTTTATTGCTTCATGCTAGGCGCGTTTAGCAACAAACGCAATGAAACCACACAAGACTATCAACGCGTCTGTCCGCGTCGCAGCGGGACAGTGTCAGCCAACCAACACCTTAAACACCGTCTAGTGCCTCCTTTGACTTTTTTATGATATCCCCTCGCTTCATGCTGGTTGTCGTATTTCGGAAACTAGTTCGCAGGACATCTCGCCTCCAACATCCCCCTCCCTATCATCATTACCGATCACATCGTATCATCGCTTCTCGCAACTCGACTCTTTCCTCACGCACCCTCTCAAATTGATTGCCTCCGCCTCCAAGGCCCGTCCAACAAGCCTTGGCAGCCCTGCACCTCCGAAAAGAACCTGCCGGCAACCCCCAAATCAGGTCACCTGCCGCATCGACAAGCCTCTCAGACCCGCCTCGTTGCTGGCCCCCGACCTCATCCACCGATTCGAATTTCGATGCACATTGAAAAAGGCCGCCCAGGACACCCACTGCGCTGAACGCTGCAACCCCCCCGACAGCCATCGCTGCACCCCAAAACTCCCGGCCGGCGGCACGGCTGTGAGATCCCGCCTCACACGGTTTCCCTCCTGACCTGCATCATGCGGCCCTGCTAAAGAAAACCACACCACTATCTCCCGTCGCCCGTGTCCTCCCGCGCCTTCAATGCCAGCCGTCGTTGCTGCTCGCAACCCGAAACACGGAACATTCACGACTCAAGAACCAAAAAAAAGAGGTCCAGTGCCAGTGAGCTTTGGCTCCTCAACAAACTGACACCGCTCTCCGATCTTCGGTTTCGTTCCGATCAGGGAACGCTGCCAGCCTTTCCGGTTCCAGGGTCGACGGTCAATCACCAGGCTTAGCACTCCGCTCCGTGCGCGACCCTGTCTGTTCGTCCTGTTGCGAGCCTGCGCTGCGGTTGGCTGCCCACCGCAGTTGACCTGGACCTGGCTCGCGTCTCCAATCGCCTCATACCGACTTGCGCTCTAACATCAAACCCGTCACCTTGCCCGCCAATCTCCGCGTGGGCTGTACTTGCTGCCCGCTAGCGTCGGCCTCCACCGCCTCCGCGAGGCTCCGCTCTCTCCTGGACTCTGCCTCCTCGCTTCGGGCCTTACCTTCCCCATCAATTCTGGTCAGGTCCCTTCCTAATCCTATTGAGGGCTCGCCGACTGGTCCAGCATTGAGGAAATATAATCTTTCCTCCGCCTTTCCTCCCGCCAGGAAAAAGACAGACCCTTTCGAGATGTCTTCCTCCAATTCAGCGTCGTCGCCCTCCAACAGTTATCTTGAGCAGGGTGTCTCTATGCTCAGTACTGTTGGCGCGTACATGCGGCTACCAGCCATAGCCTCGACGGTATGGCCATTCCCGCCTCCTCGTCCTACGGACTACCCATCTTTTCTCACCGAGCCTTCAACCTTCCTGTCTGCTACCCCTCCTCTTGGGCCCTCACCCCGAGATGGTGCCTCTACCGCTATGCTAGTCCCCAAAGCTAATCCGTCTCTTTTGCCTCGCAGGGTATCGCAGCAGTCTTGACGACCCTCCTCTACTTCAAGCAGAAGTAGGTGTTCCCTTCGCCCCCAACCCAAGCGGTTCGCGTGTGTGTCCATGTGACGCCACCTTCTTCCGATGCGACCCCACAATGAAAGCAAGCTAACCAGACCATGTGTGGCTCCAGGGCTTTGATTTACCCTTCGCACATGCCCCCGAATTCCCGCACCGAAGTTCCACGACCTTCACAATACGGAATTAAAGATTTCGAAGAGCTGGTCATCCCGACAAACGATGGCGAAAAGCTCTCGGCCTTCTACATTCGCGGCCCTCGCGGCGGCAACAACTCGAATGTCACCATCCTGATGTTCCACGGCAACGCCGGCAATATCGGTCACCGCCTGCCCATTGCCCGCATGCTTATTAACTTTATCGGCTGCAATGTTTTCATGCTCGAGTACCGCGGCTACGGCCTCTCCACCGGCGAGCCTGACGAGTCCGGCCTTTTCCTCGACGCGCAAACGGCGCTTGACTACCTCCGCGCCCGCGCAGAGACGAGCAGCCATAAGCTGGTTGTCTACGGCCAGAGCTTGGGCGGGGCTGTCGCCATCAAGCTTGTCGCCAAGAACCAAAAAGATGGCGATATTGCGGGTTTGATCTTGGAGAACACCTTCCTCTCCATGCGCAAGCTTATCCCATCCGTTCTTCCTCCGGCCAAGTACTTGACCCTTTTGTGTCACCAAGTATGGCCGAGCGAGTCGGTGATTCCCAACATCACCTCGGTGCCCATGCTTTTTCTCTCTGGCCTGCAGGACGAGATCGTACCGTAAGTCAACTTCCCTCCAATTTTTGCTACCTGTTTTTTTCCCAGCGGATATGATGATCTGAAGTCACCACCCACAAAATATGAGTCTTTCGAGACGCTTGATTTAACCCTACGACGAGAGTCTGATACCGCTTCTCCAACCTGTTTTTTGTGTTGTCTTGGATGTCACCGCTCTTAGACTAACACATGTCTCAGACCTCGTCACATGCGCCAGCTTTACGAGCTATCCCAGGCACCCTCCAAAATCTGGAAACCCCTGCCAGCGGGCGACCACAACTCTAGCGTCCTCGAGGAGGGTTACTTTGAAGCGATAGCCGACTTCTTGGCGAATGTAACCGGCGGGGCTAGCAAGGAAGAGAAGCAGCGCTTGTAGAGAAAGCACTTCGAGGACGAGGAACGGTTCAACAGGCATGTGGCCGAGATCCTAGCGAAGGGGTCGGACCGGGAATCCCTCTTCTCTGTCTTTTCGGAGACTTTCTGCTGTCGGAGGCAAAGTCGGTACACGGGCATGCGCGCGAAGGTGACCTCTTGAGTTCCTGAGATGGATCAAGACGGCCTGCGCGAGACGACAAGAGGCGGAAGACATTTTCATGGAGGCTCGTGGCGGCAGCGTCTCTCTCCTACCACCTAATAACCATCTCGATGGTCCCTAGAATGATACCCCCACCCGGCGCCCACAGAACGGGCCGGGGTGCTACGTTCGACTTCCTAGAAGTAGCATATAATTAATGAAGCAACGATTTTGGTATTCACATCTGCTGTACTGTGTTGTCGTCAGGTGAGATGTGATATTTCTACACCCACGGCTCGGGTGCGGGGTGGTTCAAGGGACAGGGGAAGCCAGGCCAGGCCGCGTGGACCACTCAACCACAGACCGCGGTTGAGTCCATGGGAGGTCGTAATGCCTGTTTATAAGCTGAGCAAACCGTTTTTCTCCCTTTCTTCCATGAAATCGTTGGACTTCACAGAAACGGAAATACGTTTTCGTCAACCTTGCAGATCGTTCACGATGGGTGGTGATGGCTGGGACAACCCTGCCTAGAGAAAACGGGGGTTCCGTGGAGGGCAGGGTTTATAGCTCGGACTCCCGTGATCGTATTCTGACGTGGCATGCTTTGACGTAGCCGACGTGGTGATAAGTAGATTGCGCGATATCGCGGGGTTTAAGGGTTGACGATGACGACGATGCGACTTTGCTTTGCGTTGCGGTCAGAGTATGCATCAATATCATTGTCGGATGAATGGGGATAGAATAGCAATTATGAAGGATTAAGAAATGGTGTTGCATAAGTTTAACTCGTTTTTTTTTTGTTTGTTATTCTCTCTTCTTGTTTTGTGTAATGTCTATTTCAATATTCTGAACATGTCCCCTTTTGATGGGTAGTTGCTCGTGAAAGCACATTGCCCTTCGTGGGGCATCTATCTAAGCATCCCCAGTGACAAGTCTAAAGCTTATCTCTCCGCCATCATGGAGATGTATGGATATTCGCAAGGCGGGAAACCAAGGCGATAAAACACCAAGCACCTTCCTTGTCCAACGATCTCAAAATGATAACTTCCTTGGCCGAACAACGTCGCTTCTGGTCTCCCATCCTGATCCCTGCAAACCGCCTCACTCGTCATCCGCAGCAGCCTCCCAATCGTCCGCCACGGAGTCCTCGACGATCTTCTTCCTCGCGAGCTTGGAGAAGCTGACGAACCCGCTGCTGGGCCGCGTCGTCTCGGGCTTGGCGGGGCCGAACACCCTACGCTGGGCCGCGGCGCGTCCGACGACGGCGTTCCAGCCCCCGGCACCTGCGGCGGCGGCGCCCTCGCGGCGGAGGACGTTGAGGTTGGCGTCGGCGGTGACGAGGAGGGCTGCGGCGGCGAGGCCTTCCTTTGTGACCGTGCGGGCGACGAGGGGCTTGAGGGAAGAGAGGGTCGATTCGACGGCGGAGGGGCTGGTGCCCCAGGAGGTGACAGGTACAGCGCGGATGAGGATCTCGTCGGACGGGAGGAAGGAGGTTGTGAAGGAGAGGGAGTTGTGGGACTTCAGGTGAGTGGCAAGGGCGGAGTCGATCTCGTCAATCGTGAGGCCGAAGCGCGGTGCCGTGAGGAGGAGGGCGTTGAAGGGCTCCGGTGCCGCGGAGGCGTTCGCGGAGGAGGATGCGGCCGGGGCGGCGGTGAGTTTGGCGGCGTCGGCGCGGATCTTGGCGCACTGGGAGAGTGTCTTCTTCGGGGCGGACACAAAGCGCGGGGTCTTGAAGACTGAGACGTGGCGGTGAGGTTCCGGGTCCTGGCTCTCTGAGTCGAAGCCAAAGTCCGCAGCGAGGTTGTGTATGAAGGCGCGCTGAGCTTTGGGCATGGGTTTGAAGCGGAGACGCTTCTCGGAGGGCTCGGAGGCAAAGACTCTGAACTCGCGTTCCTGATTTTGAGCCCACGTAAGGGAAAGCTCGCGGAAGAGCTTGAGGGTCGTGTCGGAGTAGGGGATGTGGTCGTCGGTGTGATCCGGATCAACATTGAGAGCCGCGGCAAGGCGCTGATTACGTTGAAGTCGGAGGCATTCATCGTCGCATTTGAGGGTGTCGCGGTCCGGTGTCGGGTTCGTCTTCGTGGCGAGACACTTGACCTCTTTCTTGCGGTTTTGGCATTCGCAGGTAATGAAGGTCTTGCTTTGGCATGGCCGGTCTTCCTTGCATTCTGGTGATCGTTAGACAGAAGTCAGGAAGTTGAGCAGGGATCACGTACGGTAAGGGGCGTGGCACGAATCCTGGCAAGCATGCTCGCAGGACTTGCGTGTCTTGCCGCAGGGCTGGGCGCAATGAGAGCCAGGAATTTCAGCATCTTCACACTCGCCCGGGCGATGACACTCCTTTCTGCAGGTGTGCGTGCTGATAACTTGTCAGTGTATGTCCAATCGGGTAGTCGTGTGCTTAACCTACCCGCACTTGAGCTTCTTGCCGCAAGGAAGTCCACAGCGAGCTTCCTCAAGCCAGCATGGTCTATTCTTCATTCTCTGTTTGCCGCAGATGCAGGCCTTCTCCACGAGGAAAGGGCACTTCGGGCAAGGAACATCGTCGGGATGGCAGTTGTGTTTGACCGAAGGGTGACCGCATGGTGGAGCTCTGGTACAGTCGAAGCGGCACTCAGGGGGCGGGGTGCCGCAGGGCTGAGGCGGCTGAAGGACAGTCCTGCCGCATGCACAACTGATTTCCTCGAAAACAGCCTCTAAGCAGCTCGGGCAAGGCCCAGAATGGCAAATTTGATAACACTCATGAGTTCCGCACTTCAGCGTTCTCCCGCACACGCGAACACAGATGTGCTCTGCCTCCACCTCCTCCGCAATCTGCGGGCGGTGTTTCCGTCTGGCGGCGGCTCTCTCGATGGCCCGCTTCTCTCCAGGGCAGCAGCGCTCACCACACTTGTGACGGGCGCAATTCAGTTGACCCTGGCAGACCCTCATGCACATCGGCGGCGCGATTTCGCCTTGGTGACAGAGCGAAGTGCAACTGGTGCGGCCGCACCGACAGGTTATGTCCATCTTCTGGAAGCACGGGTTGCAAGGGCCGATATGGCAGGTGTCGACGCACTGGTGGCCGCAAGACAATGTCTTTCCACAGGTCTTCTTGCAGTGAGGAATCTCGTCCTGGCAAGACTGTCTCGGCTGGTCGAGAAGCTCCTCCAACGGCGTCTTGCCGCAAGGGCAGTTTGCCACGACGTCGGGAGAGAGTGGGCAGTGAGCCGAAACTTCATCTTGCGGATGACAGGTCTTTTCACACCCATGGAAGCCGCAGTCGTATTTTCTCCCGCAAGTCGCACCGCAATCGAATGAGCCGTCGAACCAGCTGTCCTCGGAAGAATCCTCCGACTCAGAAGAAATCTGACCATACTTGAAGGACATCTCCAAATCGCCTCGTCGATCGCAGGGGATTTCCTTATGCTCCTTTCCACAGTAGCATCTCGCCTGCATTGGGATCTCGCAGCTACCACACAAGCCTGGATGGCATGGTGTCGCGCAAAAGTGCTCGCCGCACGGTAGCAAGTCTCCGCAAATCTCCTTGCAACTCCATCCATTGCCATAGTCCGTCTCGGTACATCGCTTCGTAACTTCATGCTTCCCGCAGAAGCATGCCTGAGTCGGCCCCATTAACGTACAAGGTGGACACGGCCCGGCGTGGCATTCGAGGGGGCACGGATGTGGACATGTCGACCTGGGCTTCGAGCAGGTTTGTCCGCAGGAGTGAGGAGGCAGACCAGGAACGTTTCTCGGGTTGATGTCTTTGCCACACCAGCAGTGGTACGAGGTGGGCTCCTCGGTAAGGTTGGAGTTGCAACCTGGGCATCTCCAAGAGTGCGTGTCATCGTCCTTCTTGAGCTGGCTCGTGTACCACTTCTTGACGCAAGAAAAGTGCAACACAGTCCAGCACAAGCCACACGACCATACTCGAGATGACCGCAGCACTTCGCTTGAACAAATGACGCACTCGTACTGGCCGTGGCTAATGTCCTCATGGATCCTCGTAGGCAAATCTGCTGCTGTAGACTTTGGTGCCAGAGGATATTGAGGCTTCTTCTGCTTGGGCGCAGGTGCACTTTGACGGCATTAGTCTCAGAAACATAATAAGTGGCGAATATTAAACTCACGATCTCTGAGGAACGGGCTGCCCAGGCACGAAATCTGGAGCAGCTGCACTCAAACCAGCTGCCGCATTTTCGTCGGGGACAGCATTCGTCGTGAGACGGCCACCAAACGTCCGCTGAGTTCCAGGGACGGGCGCCGCAACTCCGGAGCCGCCACGACCGCCACCTCTTCGGCCACCTCGAGAACCACCACGGCCTCTCCCTCTCCTTCCTGAGCCAGAAGCTGACGCATCTGGTGCGCTCTCACGAGGTGCTGCCGTCACAATCGGCTCAGACGCCGGTGCTGGGCCCGCCTGATTCTGGCCCTGGTTCTGGTTCTGCGGTTGCGACTGGGCAGCGGCATTCCGGCCGCCGCCTCGACGACCGCCATCACCCTGACCTCGACCCCCTCTTCCACGTCCGGACCTGCCTCTCCTTCCTCCCCTGCCTGACGAACTCGCTTGAGTCTGCGTCTGCGTCTGAGTCTGCGCTCCTCCGGCCTCAGACATGACTGATCCGCTTGCTGTCGTCGACGTTTGCTGTGATGATGAAATGGTGATTGCGCTTTTTGAAATACAGCGTCTTCGTACGGGTGGTGCCAGGCTGGGCGGCAAAGCTTGGGCGACAAAAGGCAGCCTCACAAAGAGTGAATGGGAAAGAAAGAAGGTGAATTGACTTTGATGTCAGGCTTCCTTTCCCTCTGAGGGCCCAGGAGGCGACTTTTAAGATTATGGAAGCAGCCTCTAGGTGAATCGAAGTTCCCTTTGGTGGCGGTTGTCTACGGGCCGGACTTAATCGCAGAACAGTTCATTGGGTGGGGCTCCGCTAAAATTTTGGTCCCCGGGCTTCCTTTGGTGGCAGGAGTGTGGCAAGTGTTCGCTGTGGCCGCTGTAAGGCTGACAAAACAAGCAGGAGGAGCCGTAAACGCCCAGGCCAGTCACTATGAGTCACCATGGAACTTGCATGGACCCTCGGCCGTTTCTGCTACGCTTCTTTGCCGCTAATTCCAATTGAACGACATGTTTGACTCAAATGCTGCGATGCAGTCATATCGTCATGCAGAACCAAGCCACATTGGGGGGAAATTGAGAGGATTGCTCGTTGCATCATTAAATTATTGCATGGGCTATGTTTCGCTGTAGAACGGTTGTAGTTGGTGGGGTTGTCGCGGAGTTTGGCCTCAGTGGATGTCACTTTACGCTTGCGGCTTGCAGATGCAGAGACCAGGGCATTCCCCTTGTCCGTGTTGCAAGAAAAATTAGCTAATTGCATCACATTCGGAAGTTTGCTCATAATCACTTAGTGGCCAGCCCAATTGTGCTTCTTGTGCATCTAGAAAACAACAAATGAGGCTCCGTGAAGCGCTGGGAGTGCAGTTAGCTCTGAGCCGTGCTACATGTGCGTTCGTTTCGCCCTCCCAAACATCTACAAGCGCCGATGGTTTAGTGGTAAAATTCTCCGTTGCCATCCAGCAGCGTCGGGGAGCCGGGGGTTCGATTCCCCCTCGGCGCAATCTTTTGCTTCTTTAGATATTAGTCCAAGGACATATTTCACTTTTTAGTTTTGGCTTCGCAGGAACGAAGTATTGAGGCGAGACCTCTGAAGAGTGAGTGTTCTTAAATATTATCCTAGATAAGGTGTTCACTTAAAAAGACGCCGTCCGCAGATGACCCGCAAAGGGGCAAATACCTGTAGTTACGTCGCTGCAACTATTGAATCGAACAGTTTCGGGAACGTTCTTGCTGAGGGTGCAACCCACTGTTAGCTGCAGATCTAATTCATCCACATTTCTTGTAACTGGCATATGCAGGCGCCTACATGTTCAATATAAAACTTACATCTATGACGGCGCTGCTTAGTTTTCTAAATTTGTGCTTGGAAGTTTAGATCCCGCTCATTCACTAAGTATAAAATAACACAACATCAGGGGGCTGTGTTCAACAGGGCGCCAATGGACGTTGAGCCGATACACTAATCCTATATCTCATTCAGTTATTCTCGCTTGCACATGTGAGAAATTCACCTGGCCTGTCTTCTGTGGGGAAAAAGAGTAGATGAACACAGCTTCCCTGTTGCTATTCTTCCCTCCTGCAGTATTCCGAACGTATGATGCAAATTTTATGCCTCTTCGTCGAGGAAGTTTCTCAGCGTAACATAAACATATGTCACAGGCGCCGGACTTGCAGAGGACCGTGTCGAGTGAGGCTCAACTTCCACAAAGCAAGACAAAGTTCAGCCTTTGAAAAGGTAGCATGAATTGCGTTGTTTGGCAAAAGATAAACGAGAGTCTCCTGTTTATACTTCATTTTCTGCCTCAAAGTCTTGATATTTAGCCCCCCTGTTCCGTTAGACTCAAGTTTGTTAGCTCTAAACCCTTGCTACTCACACTGCGCCATGTTAGTATACGAAATCAGTGTCAGTGGCACGATGTTCATATCTCATGGGAAAATGCGTCTCTCTTAGCTTGGTGCAGAATGTCTTGTCCGTGGTAATTACAGACGAGTCTCACGTATTAAACCTCGAAATATTCATCCTGTCGAGAGAGACCGGATGATCGGGGTTGTATGATCCCCTGGTATGACAGTATTCTGACCGAATAGCTCTACAGAAGCACAGCAATCTAGAGCCACGTTGTATCAATACGACTCAGAAAGAATGGAACAGAGGACTTCGGCAGTGTAGGGGCGCCATTATGCTAAGGACAATTCGCCACTCAGAACTCTAGCATTTCCAAACTACGCATTACCGGGGAGAAGGAGTCAGGTAGATTGCTCTCATATGCTGGCTCAGGCACAAAGAGCGTCTTTTATGCACCACAGAGACCGAGGAGTTGGAAGTCATAGTGAGATGGAGAGTGTGGATAGGTGTTGAAAAACGACAAACCGTTACTACTTAAGTTGTAGAACTCACTACTCGTGAAAAAGATTTGATACGCCAATGTTCCCGTTCCGGGAGCCTTCATGCCTCTTCCTGCGATGTTCTAGCCAAGTACGCTTGGTGCCCAGACAAACTCAAGTAAAGACGGTGGCTGGCTCTATGTCCGGTTTCCACGCCGGGGATATGTCGTGTGCTAAGTAATACTCAGCCGACAACGGACCTGCGCAAGGGAGATGAATGTTTCAACGCCTGTATTCATCATATCAACGAGATTCAGTTCACCTGCAAATTTCGCTGGGTAATTGAGATCATGGCCTTTGAGTGAGGCAACACAACAGGTACATATCCTGAACCTCATGTCAACCATGCAAGAGGCTGACTTCTTGAAAAAGATAGGGCGATTTCTCGTATACACCATTTCCCGAACAATCATTCACCTTGACGTAGTCAGCGGCCAGATTCATTCTGAACTCCCTGGCGATCTAGAGGCCATCCTACAACGAAGAGAAACGAATAGCTCCCTCTACTCTTCACGAGAATCGCGCAAAAACAAGTTGAATTTAACATTGAGATCGCTCCCGCTATCTGATCCATACCGCTAAACCGACGCAGGGATCAACGACTCACGGGCGTTGTCGCACGACGTTCAGAGCCTCGCCGTCTCATCCCTCACATTTACCAGACGCAAGGGATATGAGCAGACGTAGATCACCAAAGCTCAGATCTCATAACCTTCTGATCTTCCTGAAGCTATTGAGAGAAATCCACTTCGGGTACTTTGTGTCGAGTGCGAGGAATCTTTAGGTCAGAAACCAGGAGTTGGTTGACCGGTGGGTTTGGCCGAGACACGGGGGCCGATACGAGCAGCTCGTTGGTCAGGCCTGGTGGCACATCCGAGCCAGAAATATCGAGGTCTGAATGGAAATGTGACATCACACCTCTGGGGCCCGAAGTAATGCGAACGCCATCTGCTTCTATGAAGTGACCCGTCTATCCGGCGCTGCCTCCTTTCCGATCATGATTCCTGCCTGGCTGAAGATAAACCGACCAACAGGCAGTCGTCGCAAGGATGTCGTCCGTTTGACTTCCGTCGTCGTACAACTATCACCGGCCGATGAACCCTGTGACCGCAAAATTGACTCGATATTGACTCTCGGAACTTCAACATGAGACAAGTCGTATCCCATTGACTCAGCTGGACTCTTCTCCGAGGTAACACCAGCTGACCATCCAACCACAGGTCGGCGGGCATCGCACCCTTTAAGCTCGACGCGCTGCCAAGCTGCGTACAGCTCCCCTCACCGTGGCGGGTGACATGCACACCAACCTAAACCCTGTATTGTAAAGTCTGACGTAAATATTCTCGTGGGCTGAAAAGCTAATGTCTGCCTTCTGGGCGGTGGTGGTGCAGCTGCCACAAAGCTTGGTATCACCAGAACCTCACGTGTTGAGAGCCAAGAACGACACTGATCGAGTCACTTGGCAGAGGCCGCATGGCCAAGAGGTTCCTGCGCGACGACGTGAATGCCAAGCGGCTTGCGCAACGTGCGTAATCCTCATCTATGGATGTGGCTGTGAACTCAGCCCAATGAAGTTGGAAAGCCATCTCCGAGAGATTGGGAATGTGGAGATGAGATGAGCGGCCACTAAGGGGCGCCATTGGCAAGAAGAAGAGGTGTGTGAACGGGATGGGCCAGATTGAGAATCGCTAGACGGCAGGCTGTCTATGGTCTGCCTGCCCTCGGCAGTCACATAGATGTGCACAAACCAGCAGCCCAGGAGCAATGGTAGAGTGTACGCGCCAGCTTTCCAGTCTGTGCTTCTGAAGATAGTGACTCGGAGTGGAGCAAACCCGTCTATTTGCCAAGGCGGCTGTCAGGCTGCTTACCCATATGGCATCTAGCATTGAGCCGTTCACTGCTGTCAAAGTCTTGGTCTTTGCCTCAAGAGCCGTGAAAGTCGGAGCGTCCGATCCAGAGGTGCAGGGCCCCGACCAAAGGATACGAATAGAAGCAAAGAGACTATGGTTTGGGCTAACGTTGTTTCCTGCGGCAAACGAGAACTGTTTCTCATCTAGAAGCCGAGCTCGAACGGCAGGATCACATTCCCGTTGCCTACAGCTCCGATCAGTTAAGATAAGAGGCCTTTCCGAGCCCTAGACATAGCAGAAGCCAAATGGCTGCAGAATCCTGCGTATCCCAAAAAGGAAAAGCAACGTAACTGAAGACCGCCGTCTTGGAAACGAGTGCTTCAGGGTTTCTGTGGGATGCGTTGGACGTGCCGTGCTCTTCAGGGTACTTTAGTGTCGGACACTAGGCGCTAACCCCTGACAAGATAAGTACGCTGCTTAGAGAATATGAGTCTACGGCTCGGCAAGCAGCGGCTGCAGCCTAGAACCCAAGAAATAGAACGTTGGCTTGCGAAGAGCTCGCCCCTTGCTAATGGGCGCTGGTGAGGGCTATATTAGTCCTTAATTTGAACCGCGCAGTGGCGTTGGCCACTTAGGTTGGCCGGCGCCATGTGCTTTCCATACCATTGGGATGCGGCAAAAAGTTGAGAGCTGGAAGACTAGGTAGACCGATGGTGCTTAAGCTGTCGTTGTGAACTCGGCCTTGACCAAGAGCTAGGAAGAAACAATCACGACAGTTGCGGGGTCGGGGATCGAATGTGAAGGACCCCGGACTGATCCGTGTGGTCATCATTGTGTGCTAAGAACGTAGCTGAAAGGTGCTGTAAGTGATAAGGTGGATCGATAGGCAGCACCTAGGTACGGCTGATTCTGGATATGCCCCTGGTTTGACGCCCGCGGTTGCATGATGTCAGCGTACTACAGCAGGAGCAGTGATGGTGTGTCTCGCAGTCAGCAAGAGAGCGTGAGATTCGGCAGATCTCATGCTGCCGGAAGGCGTCATGAGACAAGATGCTGGATGGAGTTTGGTAGCCAAATGACTGGTCGCGGCTTCGAGAGTTCGACTAATGCGCGTCTGACAGTATCCTGGCACAACGTTGGCCGACTTGGCGACAAGTCCACATCGTTACCCCCAAGACAGCCCAAGGATAGGCGGGGACAATTAGTAGGGGTGGCGATGGTTAGCCGAAGGGCAGGGCACGCGCTTGTATCGTGAAGGCAACGCAGAACGCAACTTCCGACTGGCCAGAGTTTGCCGTGGGCAAGCAGCGATGTTTGCTCCAGGTTGGCAGAATGGCTGCGCTATTGAGGGAGCTGGACTGCTAGTCGGTTCAAATAGAGTTAACGTCTGTTTTAGACAAGCCACGATGGCTTGGCCGTTTGACTAATAAAGTGGCTGCTGAGGCTTCGCGGCCATGAGAGGGGCAACCAAGTTGTTGGTCTCCTTTGCAACCCCTTATCGATATGGGCACCACAGCGAGATCCATCCGGCACAGTTGCTTGTGAGGCGCTCTCCTTCGAGAAAGGCGACGCAGGGGGGTAGCCCCTCCTGGCTTGTTCGCGATGGTTGTTTCCATTATCGGGAGGAAGTGGCGGAGCATCAAGAAGCGACCCGTCGGTCGATTCTGAGATGAAAATAGACCGTGCGATAAGGTTGTATCGGTGAGGATTTTATCTGACAAGGAATATCCAGAGGATGCCGAGTCGTCAACATTTGATGTCCCGACTTGCCGGGAGATGGCCAGGCAAGGAAAGCGGAAATGGAAGCCCAGTTCCGGCCGAGTGAACGCTCAGATGAGGCCCAGTTAGTGTGGAGGCCAGACCTGGATGCCTGGCAGGTTGTTCTGCAGCATCGCAGGTTCAGATCGGTAGCTCCATGCTCAGCTGTAGCTGGGATCAGGGGTTTTCGGGTCCCAAAGGGGGGGAAAGTATTGGCGATTCCGCCGAAGAGAGCAGACCACTTGTTCGTCCTTGTGATAGACGGAGAATAAGCAATTCCATGTGTAGCCGTGTGCAGCATCGTACAACAGATCGGTGGTGATCAAGAACGAGGGCTTTCCCTAAGGCTGACTAGGATGACACGACACGTTGCGCTGCCACGATGCCTGTCATCTTTGAATGGGCTGAAGCGTTGACAGAGAGACAGAAAGTTTTCTGAAGCCATAATCAATGGATTGAAACCGTGAGATTCTTGGGACTCGGTTACGCCATCTTCTTGTCAATGGTAAGGCGTGGGAGGGAGCTGAGTGACGAAGCCTGCGAAGGAGAAAAATGGTGAGCTCTCCAGAGAGAAGCCGACTGGGAGGATGCGCTAGTCGTTTGAGTGTCAGGTGGAGCCTTCCTACCTCGATTGAGATAAGTCAGGTCCGAGAAGGCAACTGAGGCGGAAGGAAGTCATTTGGTGAGCTGACGAATGCGAGAAGAGGAAAGAGAAAGAGCATGAACACACGACCCGAGTTTGCTGCCCCTGTTATGATTCCCGATTGGGACTAGTCTGGAGCTGTACGTGCTGACTGCAGAGTGGGGCCATGCAGGGGAACGCGGAGCACACGGATCACCAGTGATCTTGTGCGTCGGCCCCTGCCGCCTGCAGGTCTCCTGTCAAAGAAACGCAAGATGGAGTCGACTCCTCTTGACTCGTCCCATCTCTCCAGTGTCACTTTCTCGTATCCTTCCTCACTGGCAGCAGCTGACAAACAGCATTGGCCTTGCGCGATACTGCAACTGGACGATGGCTCGCCGGGTATCGGCTCTTAGCACAGCACGGCTGCACTCTGCCTCTTTCTCATTCCCGGGGGAACGAGAAGAGGTTGACGTTTCTTGGCAGGTACGATTCCGTACTCCCAAGACCTTAGCCAAGACCTGGGGTTGTCATGGTATTTCGTGAAGTCTCTATGATTCTAGCTGACGGCCTCGCTGTCCACAGTATCGAATGCCAAGAGACGGACTGACGGGCAGAAACGCCATCCTTCCGAGGTGCTTGAGACAGCGACAGCAATACATTGTCGGAAGAGAATCGATATACTCGCCACCAACATATGGTGATGTGGGTGTACTGCAAGACTATTTTCGGCACCTCAGGATGTCGTCTTCGGTGGCATGGATGTGACCCAGCACCTCGATCTAGCCATCGATAGACGGTGATCACGAAAGAACGCGGCCTGGGTGTGCACGCCGTCGTCAATACCGAAGAACTGGAACCGGATTACCCGGTCTGGAGGGAACACCTAGGCGCCCAAAACACCTATGTTTACCGCAGATCTTCTCCGAAGCCCAAGCCTCGTGCTCATGGGCCTTCTCGCAGAGCATCCAGGGTTTCTTGTCGGCATTACTCGGCAAGATGGCAACTTTACCCCAGAGCGCTTAGCAGAGAGAATAACCAAGAATGGCAACGACAATGGCAATTTGGGAAGAGAAGGTCGAGTCGTCCCTTGACCCCCTGCTCCCTGACCCTGGGCCAAAACTAAGCTTACCAGATAGAGAAATGGATAAGCTATTGGGTACGTACATATGCACCCCTGTAGGGAACGCCCCACTTATGCACGACCCTGATCCCCAGAGGGCGATGGCATTGGATCTTGGAGAAAACACGCAAAGGAGAAGAGAGACGTGCACACCACCAAATTCTGACCTCCTTTCCCATCTCTCACTGCCGCTTCCTACTTTGTTTGCCAATTTCCACATGCGCGTGGCAATCATTCGAATGATGAACTGGGCCGAAGCCCGGCGGTTCTTCGCCTCTTCGCGCTCGCCTGCGGAACCCGGCCTCCCGGTTGGGCCTTGATCTCTCAAGTGGTGTGGCTTCTCGTGTTGCTGGGCAGCTTCACGATACGCTTCACTTGAGCTGAGTGAAAGAGACATACTATGCTGATGGTCAAGTTCAGGCTGAGGGCGACAACGGCACAACGGCACCCCTAACAACGCTCAACGGCGGCTGACGGGGCCTTGGGGCAGGGCTCTGGCACAAAGAGATGGGGTGCTATTAATGGTTTAGCGCCCAGACATGTTCGTTTTCTGTCCGGAGAACCATCTTCCAACTTCAGCTCACCCCAGGCCGTTGGCCAGCATCGGTTCTTGTCTCGCTCTCAGCCCAAGCCTCGCCGTCTCACCCATCTATCCCGCCCCAAGCCCTTCCCACACCACGGAAGCCATGCGAGGGACGAAGTACCCGCGTCTCGCCCATTGATTTGCTTTACACACCACGCCTTGCAAGCGCAATTCGTGGTCGCCTAGCTCGCCCGGCTAGCCTTGCTGGTTTCTTAGCAAGCCCCATGCGAGCATGGCATCCTCTAGTCCCGCCCATGGCCCCTCTCCCAATGGACTTCTCTCGTTGCCCCCTAGTGTACGATGGAGGAGATCACATCTCCCAAGTGAGAGGTCACGGCCGGAGCCTAGTTAGGTCTATCCGCGTCTAATGCTTCTCTATGTTCGCTTTGGCCTCCCGTCACTTCAGGTTCGCCTGCGCTTTGAGTCGAGAGAATATATAGCTTCATGGTTCCCGGACCATCACGAATTGTTCTCTTCCACCTCACCACCCACTCCTTTACACTCTTTTACTTGCTTTTGTGTTGGTTTCTGCCTCTTGGCACACACTCGTTACCATGAGGGCCTCACAGTTGACATTCGTTATTGCTTCCACGTTCTCTCTTGCAAATGCTGCGGCTTATTCCCCGGGCCTGCACAAGCGAGCCCTCCAAGCTCCCCCAACCACGTCAAATGGATACCAACTTCAGGGTTGCTACGTGTACGGGACCTGTCTGTTGAACCAGAGCGACTTACTGACTGGGATCTAGCGATGTTGGCCGAACTATCAGCGATGCCACTACCAACGGCAACACGATGACGAACGAGCTATGCACGCAATTCTGCTTCAGCAAGGGCTTCGCCTACGCCGGAACCGAGTACTATGGCGAATGTTACTGCGGCAATGCTCTGGCCAAGAACGGCATTCAGGCCGCCGACGCCGACTGCACTACCCCTTGCAATGGAAACGCAACCCAGCCTTGCGGTGGTCCCAATCGTCTCACTCTTTACCATACCTCCCTCATTGTTGGGCCTTCGGTCAACCCTGGCCCTGGTGATTGGTCTTCCATCGGATGCTATTCGTGAGTCAACATTGCTTTGCCCACCACAACTTGAGGCTAACATCGTAACAGCGAGGGTACAGGGGGCCGCGCGCTCACGAATGGTGTTGGCGTCACTGGCGCCATGACTGTTGCCAAGTGCACTGCTGCTTGCCAGAACCTCGGTTTCATCCTTGCAGGTGTTGAGTACGCCGGCGAGTGCTGTAAGTTCTTGTCATGTTTGTCGTCATGCCATGTTCCTAATAATGCGTCTTAGACTGCGGTAACAGCCCTGCAAATGGCGGTGCTTCCGTTGTTGATGGCTGCAACATGGTTTGTAACGGTAACTCTTCTGAGTACTGCGGTGGCCCCAACCGCTTGAACGTCTATGACTACAAGCATTCGTACCTGCCTTTGCCATCTTCCACATCGAGCGCGGCGCCGACTAGCTCCTCGACGTCTAGCTCGAGTTCGATCGCTTCCTCCAGCAGCTCCACTGTTAGGCTCAGCTCGAGCTCCAGCTCCAGCTTTGTCTTCTCTTCCAGCAGCACCATACTTCCTACTAGCAGCAGCTCTGCTGTGTTCAGCACTTTGGCCAGTAGCAGTTTGACCGCCGCTGCGGCCATCAGCAGCTCTAGTACTTCAAGTAGCGCCTTCGTCAGCCCAAGCAGGTCCGCCAGCAGCAGTTTGACTGCCGCTGCCGTCAGCAGCAGCTCTAGCTCCTCATTTCTGAGCTCCCTCACCAGCGCGACCTCAGTGATCAGCTCCTCGAGCAGCAGCATCAGCTCTGCTACCCCTACACCCACCGGCCCTAGCCAGCCGGCGACCGTCGGCAACTGGAACTACTACGGATGCCAGACCGAGGCCACCAACGCTCGCGCCCTCCCTTCAACCAACTTCGGCGACGATGCCATGACCATAGAGAAGTGTGTAGCATTCTGTGGTGGTGCTGGTTACACTTTTGCGGGCTTGGAGTGGTCCCGTGAGTGCTGGTGTGGAAACACCTTCTCTGCTGGATCCGCAATCGCCCCTTCGAGCGATTGCTCCATGACCTGCTCCGGCAACAAGTTTCAGTACTGTGGTAATGGCAACCGCCTTTCCGTGTACACCATCGGCACCGCCAAGCAGTCTGTCTCTTCCTCATCGACTGTCGGATTGTCGACTTCGTCCGCTAGTGGATCGGCGACCGCCGCAACATCATCTACGGCGTCTCCGTCATCTACCGGCTTCCCTGCTGGGTGGACGAGCCAGGGCTGCTGGGTGGATAACGCCAATGGCCGTATCCTTCCTGTCCAAGCTCCTGATGACCCAAAAATGACTGTTCAGTCCTGCGTCAACTACTGCGCTGCCAACGGCTATACGGTTTCTGGCTCCGAGTATCACACTCAATGCTTCTGCGGTAACGCCATCTATGGTGGCGGTGTTGTTGCCTCTGACCAGACCAGTTGCAACACTCCCTGTGGTGGCAACTCTGCCCAGATGTGTGGAGGCGGCAACCGCATGACGATTTACTCAAAGGGCACTCCCCAGACGTACGCACCTCCGGCTCCCCAGCGCAGCGGACTTAACGGTTCTTGGACCTACGAAGGATGCGTCACGGACAACGTCAACAACAAGCGTACCTTTGCCACGCAGACCATCTTTGCTGGTACCATGACAGCTGGCATGTGCTTGGACGCATGCGCCAAATTCGGCTACATGGCAGCTGGTCTTGAATACGGCGAGGAGTGCTACTGTGGTGATCCTGCCAACATTGTCACAGCCGGTGCCACCTTCGTCGATGAATCTCGTTGCAGTATTAGCTGCGCCGGCAACGCTACTGGCATTTGCGGTGGTCTCGCTGTCATGTCGACGTACTTCTGGACGGGCCCGGCTCTATACAACTGGACCTATGCCACAGGCAATGATGCTGGAAGCTACGATCTGTTCATCGGCGGCAAGTGCATTCCTTTGATGACCATGGAGACTATCAAAGGCAAGGTCACCTTCCTTGAGAAGTGGGGAACTGGCCCGCCAAACTCGACTGGCGCATACGAGTTGGACCCCGTTCTGGCTCCCGATCTGAACAAGGCCTGGAGAGAAATGCACGTCAAGACGGATATCTTCTGCTCTGCCGGGCTCACGCTCCCTGACAAGAACGGTCGCCAGATGAATATTGGAGGTTGGTCCGGTGATTCTACCTATGGTGTTCGTCTCTACAACCCCAGTGGATCTCCCGGCGTGAACGGTACCACGGACTGGCAGGAGGACCCCTCTCTCAAGCTTCAGCAAGGTCGCTGGTACCCGTCCGCTCTCATCATGGCCAACGGCTCCATCATGGTCATTGGTGGCGAGGAAGGATCCAATGGCGCAGCTGTTCCTACGATTGAGGTCTTGCCCTACACGGGCACTGCTCCTCTCTACATGGACTGGCTTCAGAAGAGCGACCCCAACAACTTGTACCCATTCGTCGCCGTTCTGCCCAGTCAGGACATCTTTGTCGCCTACTGGAACGAGGCCAGAATCTTGGACAGAAACACCTTCGCCACCAAGACTCTGTTGCCGAAGATTCCAGGCTCGGTCAACAATCCTCTGGGAGGACGTTCCTATCCTCTTGAGGGCACGGCTGTCCTCCTGCCTCAGAAGGCTCCCTACACTGATCCGCTCGGCATTCTCATCTGCGGTGGCTCTGGAGCTGGCGCCAACATTGTCCTGGACAACTGTGTCACCATCCAGCCCGAGGCCACCAACCCAACGTGGACAATTGAGCGCATGCCCACCCGCCGTGTCATGTCTTGCATCGCGCCTCTTCCTGACGGCACTTACCTGATCAACAACGGTGCCATGCAGGGTGTCGCCGGCTTCGGCCTGGCTGCTTTCCCCAACCACATGGCCCTCCTGTACGACCCCGAGAAGCCTGTCGGATCGCGCATTACGGTCATGGCGAACACCACGATCTCTCGTCTCTACCACTCCGAGTCCATTACCCTGCTCGACGGCAGCGTCCTGGTCAGTGGTTCCGACCCTGAAGATGGCGTCAACCCTCAGGAGTACCGCGTCGAGAAGTTCAGCCCTCCGTACCTCCTCAGCGGCAAGCCGCGCCCAACGTTCAATGTCACCAACACCGACTGGACGTACGGTCAAACTGTCACTTTCTCCCTTGGAAGCAAGCCCAACGGCGTGATCAAGGTCTCCCTTCTCGGTGCCGTGTCCTCGACCCACGGTAACTCCATGGGCGCCCGCACAATCTTCCCTGCCGTCTCGTGCGGCGCCTTGAGCTGCACTGTCACCGCGCCGCCCAACGCCGGTGTCGCGCCTCCGGGTTGGTACCAGTTCTTCGTCATCGACAACGGCATGCCAGGCATCGGTATCTACGTCCGCATCGGCGGTGACCCCGCCGGTCTGGGCAACTGGCCCCAAGGCTCCATGTTCACCCGCCCCGGCGTGTAAACCCGTCATGACACCGGGCAGTTCTGTCCGTTCCTTCTCTTCTTAAGACTTTAGATTAGTGCCAGATACCTCTTTTTTTGATTTCAAGCGAACTATGCTTCGGAGTAGAGATTTATTGGATGGCGCTTTTGCGCCTTGGATGAACACCTTCGTTTATGAAAAGGAATTTGGGGAGGAATACAGATACTCATGACTATGCAAAACCGAGGATGGGTAAATCTCCTCCACGACATTAGCCGGACTTGGCAATCTTCAATAGTACATAATTATAATGTTTTCAGAGATATGCTCCTATCTTACCGCCATTACCTGTGAACTTGGTCTTCTCGCAAGCGACGAGACTGAATGCCCGCGTGGTAGAAGAGGCTTGAACAACGACGATGACTGCGCACTTGGGCGATAGCAAGGCAGCGAGTGACGGAAGCGGCTCACCATATGAGCGAACCAACAAGGATGACGTCGGGCCCTCTCGATCAAGCATCCCTCAAGCTGATAGACCGAAAACCAAGCAACCGACACACCGCAGATGAGAACAAAAAGAGAAGTGCAGTTTTGCCGCCGTTAGCGGGAACACAGAAGCAGGCAGTGCTGCGCGTGAGAAAGACCAACCAACTAACATTTTTCTTCTCCCCGGGGCTGGTCAAGCGAATGAGAGGTTTGGGAATCCGGCTGGGAGGCTGAGCACGACAGGCGGTAAGCAGCGTTGGCGCGGGGAAGAGGAAGAGAGAGACAGACAGACAGACGCCAAGGTGATTGTGCCGCGCCGCAGCAAGCTCCAATGTGTTGTTGGTGCTTGTCCCTACTCCGCTGTAGGCAGCCGCTATTTGCAACGAACAGGGGGCAACGTGTTGGGAAAACACCCGAATAAGCTTAATTGCTGGGGCTAGTCCAGGCTGCCATTATGATCCAGAAAGACGTTCATTTCAAGCTTCGTGAAAGGGGAGACTGGCTCCGGGTCTCAAATTGCGAACATCTCGATACAAGGGCTGCAGAGAAATGCTCCATTAATACTTAGGTCCGATTGCCGGGTGCCTAAAGCCAGAGACGACGCCCCGGCGAGCATGCCCGGCCGAGTCCCCACTTCTTTTGCGCAGCACGCCCGGCGCCGGGGGTGTGGGGATCTGCTGCCACTGCCACTTCCTTCCAGTGTGTTTTCCCCCGCAGGAATCTGTCTCTTTTTGCTCACTGCATGCCCGCTGTTTCTAACAATAGCACACAACCAACGTACCGCGGGATCGGGTCGGCGACGGTCAGGGAGACACGGCCACGATGATTTTCCCAACGGTCTGGTACGGGCATTCGGTCGAAGCCTCGATGTCGCGAGCGTATAAAGAGTACTAGGCATCCAATATAGAGATGGCACGAGTGCAACCCTTCTCCAGTCTTTTGTCTGACCACCGAGCCGACTCTTCGAATGCCATCTCACTACCATCTTGATCACGCTTCCTCGTTGTGTCATATCACAACATCCCAGTAGACGACAAACTGCAAGGTCGCAAACATGTCACAACCCTGCACTCTAACAACATGTTCCGTCTCAACATCTCCCTACGGCTACCGGCCCAGCCAAGAGGCCCCCGCCATCTTCATCGCCATCTCCTCAATCTGCCTCATCGCCAACGCGGCCATCACAGTCCGAGCCTCACAAAAACAACAACAGAAACACTCGGCGACGGTGCCGTTCGCCATGTTAGTCACACTGGCATGCGCGCTTGAGGTCATCGGCTGGGCGGATCGTCTCGCGGGCTGGAGCGATCCCTGGGCGATGTACCCCTTTATGCAAGGCAAAGCACTTCTCACCATCGCCCCTGTCTTCCTCACATCAAGGTATGTTTCTCCCTCTTTCCCATAATTCAAACTTAGAACGGCTACTGACAAACTCCATCCAGCATCTACGTCTCCCTCGGCCCCATGGTCCACACCCTCGGCACAGAACACTCCATCCTCCCAGTACACCTCTACGCCGCGCTCCTCCTCCCCGCAGACCTCCTCGCCCTCACACTCCAGCTCGCCGGCCTCGCGCTCAGCTTCAGCAGCGCCCCCTCCGCCATCCTCACCGACACAAAAACGCCCTCTTACACCCCCACCCCCGCCGGCGCCAAGCTCGTCACAGCAGGCCTGGCCCTCCAGCTCGCGATCCTCATCGCCGCCGCGCTCCTCCTCGCCTCCGTCCTCGTCCGCGCGGCGCTCTCATACCGCCGGTACGGGTACACCACGTTCCACCGCGACGCGGGCTACGTCCCGCTCCCGCGGCGCTTCCGCATCTTTACGATGGCCGTGCCGTCGGCGATGGCGGTCCTCTTCGGGCGGCTGTGCTTCCGGGTGGCGGAGTACGCCGGGGGCATCTCCGCGAAGGACGGGGAGGGGCTGTTCGTCGGGCTGGAGGGGCTGCTGGTTGCGTACGCGCTCGTGGCGCTGGTGGGGTGCCACCCGGGGCTGTTCCTGCGCGACGGGCGGTTCGTGTCGCGGATCGAGGGGGAGGCGTTGGTTGGGATCGATGCGGTAGGCGGGCCGGCGGCGGCGAGGATGAGGGAGCGGGAGAGGGAGAACGAGGCGGGGCTGGAGGAGTTGAGGAAGGTGTATCGGGCGCATGTTGAGGAGGAGCAGGAGCGTTTTGGGAGGTTTGAGAGGTGATTTTTGCGTTTTGTTCTTGGAGTTGGGATTTGGAAATGATACCCCCCCTTGGAAGCGACTTGTTTGTTTGCAAGATATACCCTCGCTTGTTTGGATAAAGTTAAGCATTATGCTTCTTTTAAGTTTCAGGATAAGCTCAATATGCCCATTTCTTATGATGCTTTGACTTTCTCTTTGAAGACATTCAGGCAGTGCCCTGATTGTACATCGCTGATGCTGGAGTTCTGACGACAAGGAATGGCGCATGTGCATGTTGGTCAAGCGTCTTTCATATAATCTCACGGAGTTTGGAATGTTTTGACGGCGGAACCTCACGTCATTGTTATTAGACATTGCTAGGCCGCCTATTTAAAGAATCGAGGTTGACAGCCAGTCTCTAATCTGCAGCAATCCTTTCTCTGCTGGCCACTTACCCCCAAAGTCTCAGTAGTATACCATCAAGGGATGCACGACGTTCGATCGTTACTCTTTGAATTGTCCCTTGACTCACTTCACTGCAGTGCTATCGTCCGCGCGGCATTCAGAATAATACTCAAGGAGGACTACACGTTTCCAGTGCTGCACACCCTTGAACCCCCTTGATGAAGAAATTTGACTTTGACTACCTTAAGCGAGGATTGTGGTCTCACAACGGTTAAAGCACCTCGCGAGAAAGCCAGAAGGTCCAAGGACAGAAGCTGGACTCATTGTGGTCGAAAATAACAAGAAGCATGATCTCCATGGATTCATATACCGTCTTGTCAGTTAATTCCACGACCGAGGGTGCGCAGGCTTAGACAAGAGGTGTATAAAAGATAATTAGCGATTTACTTTGAAGTCTGACCACAAACAATCTGCTTTTATCCACTGCCTCTGGATTCAATTCCAGGGAATATTGCGCTTGCTCGTTGGCTATTCTCAATCCATATTGGAAACAAATCTTTCGAAGGACCCATATTGAATACAACTGCATCAATAGACGGGAGATAGCGCTGAGGGGCGATGACCATGATGGCTGGGACAGTGGCAATCAAGATCTTCAACAGCCAGGCGTGGAGAGACACACTCTTGTGCGTATCCCGACAGAGGAAGAAAATACGCGAGTCTTTCTGAGAAAGCAACAAATGCGAGACAAGCAAGGAATTTGTTTCGAACGGAATGCGTGAAGTGGAGAAGTCGTCTAAGTTCTTGTAGAAAGTGAGAAGTACATACATGCAGATATGTATGTAGGCCTTCACAGTTACATCGCCTTTTGCTCGTTCAATATGGCCCAGAGAGCTCTCAGAGTGAACATACCTTTAGGACGATATTAAAATGCAGTGAAGTTAACGGCAACCTGCATGATTAGGACTCTTTCCGTCGGATCCTACTCGCTCAATTCTAGTGGCTTGCATTAGTGGTGTGCAGTGAAGGGGTTCGGATTCTTTGCGAGCGAGGTTTCTACATCCTTCGCCTTTACTCGTAGCAGGCTTTCATACAAACATACAATCGTGGGCAACAAAGGGATCCAGTGCACAAAAGAGTCAGCTGGGTTGGAGACAGATCTACGCCGTACACCTGAAGACAATGCAAATTAGCTCCTTGAAAAAGTATGATTTAGGATTATTCATCGGTGTAAAATACCTCGGCCTCGGGATGATCTTCTGCATATTGGATGGCCCAAATGCCGGTGCCAGTGCCTACGTCGAGAGCACGTTGAATGTGCGCGCCTGGCTGACAAGGCGGAGAGATACCCAGACGCCCGCCGAGCGTCATGAGGAATATGTGATGTTGCATGTCTGTAGAAGACTCTCTTGTTAAGTCACGAAACCGTGGCAAAAAGAAGAACTAGCTGAAGGTTCTTACCCATTCTATCGTTCTCACGTTCGTCGTTTGGCATGTTGTATTCTAGTTGCTTTTGTCAGTAGTGTCGCCGGGGAAATGGAAACGAGCAGGAGTCTCTTACTCCCTTCCTTGTAGCGATGGTATGTTCTGCCATTTTCGAAAACATAGTCGCGGATTGAATCGGCTAAGCTAGTGGTTGACGAGGCAAGACTCTATTTGGAAACGACGTTAGCAGCACATGGCGTGAAGAAGGCATTGGGAAGTAAAACATACCTGGGTATCCACCCCATTTTCGTCTGAAATCTGCAAACAGAATCAGCCATACTCCTCTCGTCGTCGCAAATCACAATCTCTTCATCATTACCTCGTCCTCAGGCACAAGTTCGACTTCGTGATCGACCTGTTCTTGATCTGTTGCTAGCTGATTCATGATGGGTTCTATACCAAGATACCACTACTGACTTGAAGACAACATTAGTGGCTGTGTGACTTTTTCTTATTGAAAAGAAAGATTAGGCCATCTAGATGGCAAAGTTCGCGGGCGACTCGACCGTCTTGTAGTGGGCACTCCCAACACGTGAGACTAGAACCCATCTCTCTTGGCCGGAATGATGCAGCATACAATTGCTAGAAGAACCAACAGAAAGAGAGGATTTTATGCACGTCTACGGCGAAAATGTCTCTTTACGTCTAAAGTGGAGTGCTCATGGCTTGAGCATGTACATTGCAGAAGCAAACGGATGTTTGCACGATCTCTACCGCTGAATTCCAGATATTACTGGTCGCTGAGAATTCGACTGCGTAGCTGTATGCACGCTGCCAAGAGAAGAGGTGTGAGCAGCACAGAATCTGGCACAAGATGTTCGACAGGCGATTGAACACCGAAGAACGTCCTCGCCGCTTTCCATCCCCGTGCAGCTTATGGGTTTCTTCGACCGCAACTCAGCAACTAATAGCCTAAAGATATACCAGTGGTACAGTTTTCAAGCAACTACATTTTGACCGCATCAATGTTGACTTTGACACTTTCGCGAATTCTAGCCGCAGGACCATCCGCCCACTGTGTCGTGTTATCGTCTGTCTTGTACAGACTCATATTGAAGCGGGTGAACAAGTTGGCAAGACAGAGATACATCTCCATGTAAGCGACGCTTTGAAGTGTCAGTTTCTCCACACGAACTTAGCCAACGATGAGCACTCACTTCAGTCCTATGCAAGCGCGTGTTCCTTTACTGAAGGGAACGAACCACTTCTCCAGCTCCCACCCATTCTCTCCGAGCCAACGCTCTGGGATGAATCTTTCTGGTTCCGGAAAGATGTCCGGGTTGTCATGGATGGTTCTGATCGCCTGGGATACAGTCGACTGTTTCAAAGTTGAGCAATGGGACAATTAAGTAGCAGCCTGTAAACTCACCCCTCCAGGAAGGAAATGACCAGCGACGTATACACCTCCAGCAGGAACTCTGCGGGGAGTGATTCCGGGCACTGGTGAAGACAAGCGAAGAATCTCTTTGCACACAGCGGTCAAGGGGGAGGTCAGCATGGGGTTATGTGCGACTGGGCCGAGTTACTGACCAGGTAAGGGAGATTGCAAAGTTCGCGGTACTCGAAAAGTCCCTCGGCATTTGTCTTCACCGTCTTCAACTCGTCGAGCATCTTGTTCAGCTTCTCAGGGTTCTTCAGAAGATAGTAGGTCCCGAGACTGAGACCAATACCTGTAGTGTCGGTACCAGCAAAGCAAAGTACAAAAGCCTCGTCTACAAGCGCCTCTCTGTTCAGCCCATTGGGCATTTTAGCATTGGAGCGGAGCAGCAGGTCAAAGTAAGTGGGCCGTCCATCAGACGCTGTTGTCAAGCCTTTAGCTTGCTTATCTTCGATTTCTCCAATCCATTCAGAGCATTGCTGATATCTAAAGTCAGTGGAAAACCAACCTCTGGAGTTTTGGGGGTTTACCTTGCGGAAAGCGGCGAACCCTGGTATTATCATCCCAGCTATGCTCATTGGCAAGCCAACAGCGAGGCGGTTCATCAGGGGGAAATGTTTCGTGAGAAGAAAGTTGTCTGCAAATTTCGTCATGGCATCCAGAAAAGGGGGCATCTCCTCGTCTGAGTCCACGAAGTTCATTTGTCGATCAAATAAAACAGACATGATCGTGTCAACCTTTATACAACTTAGCGAAGCTCTTTCCTCCACTCGTTACGTGAAGACCTACTGTGACGGATGACCACAAGGCCTGGATGTTCAGCGGGGCCCCTCTGTCGTAAGATCTCTGTGCCCTATTCATAGCTCTCCTGACAACATCCAAAATCGAAGGAGCCAGCTGATCCATCTGTCTGGTCGAGAAAAGGGATTTGACGGTGTTTCTTCGCTGCTTATGGTCTTCCGGGTCGATAAGCATAACGATGGAGTATTTTAATGTGCCGAAAGCCTGGTAGAAACCGGAGTCTTTGAGATATCGGCTGTTATTCGCATAAACCCTGTTCACGAAATGAGTCGCTTCTTTGGTAGTTCCGCAGGAACAGAACTCACTCCCTGAAAAAGCTGGGATCGCTAACGTGTATGCGGTCGGGAGAGATGCGGATTACAGGCCCTGCACGAATTGCAATGTAAGCACTGTATTTCTTTAGCCCGGTGTCCGCATCACTCACCATATTTCTCGTGCAGAATCGGGTATTGCCTGACAAGCTGACCGTCCAGAACAACGTCGTAGTAAATTTCGTACCAGCTCGTCGCCGCGGCGTACCAAGGTCCGGGGATCTTTCTAAGAGGATGAAAGAAGAGCCTGTAGAACAGTAGCCCGATGGAATATAGCAAACCCCCCACCAAAAGCATCTGTATGCTGCCCAACACAGAATATGTCAGGGCCATGGTCAAGGGCTAAGACAGGAGCTCTTGCATGCAAAACTAAAATCAACAGAACTGTAATTCAACTTGTCTAAAGCAACCAAGATAGTTCAAACAAAATCAAAGACCGGGTAAAATTCTCAAAAAGAAGACATGGGAATGGCACTGACGACCTTATAAACTGTCTGTCGCAGGCTCTTCAACCCCTCACGTGTATTTCCAAGACATCTTCTCTGCAATATTCATGCGGTATGAATGCAATGTGACACTTCTTGTATGACATCCCCCGCATCTCTGCATTGGTTTCGGGCTGTTCTGGCGACTAACACTGCCAATCACAATATATTTGCTTC